CCTGAGGGTGCTTCTCTGCAGGAGGGTGGGGAGAGGGGGGGCAGAGGCAAAAGCTGACTCCCCAGGTGAAATGCTGCACCCCTGCACGGCCCTGCACAACCACCAGCACCACCAGCACCACCACTGGCATCAACACTACCAGAACCACCAGTACCCCTGGCACCAGCACCACCAGTACCATGGACACCAGCACCACCAGCAGCAGGAGGGATGGCAGCAAGAAGGGGGAGAGCATCCCAGGGCGCAGCTCTCCCCTCTCTCCTGCAGCAGCCACACTCGCTGCTGACTCATTTTTGGCCAACGAGCCCACGTGAGGCGCAACACCTCCTGCCACTCCGTGGGTTTTTTTTTCCTTTCTTCTTCATCAAGCGCGCCCCGAGTTACCAAAAACCCTTATCACGTGGCTGCGACACAGCAGCCCCGCTTTCATTTACTGGAACTGCACAGCCTCCAAAAAACACAGGTTTCCAGCAGAGGAGCCGAGCCGCTGAAGCTCTCAGAGGGACCCCCCCAGGCGCTCAGGGCTTTGTTGAAGGTAAGGAGCTCCCGGGCGAGTGCTTTCCCCACCCAGGTGGTTCTCCCAGCTCGACGCCTGGCGGGATGTGCCAGGTTCCCCAAATCACCCACCCCGAAGCCGGTGCCACCCGTCCCACGGAGACACTCACCCGAACCGCGGCCGCTTCCCCACACCCTCCGGAGCCAGCGCCTGTGATGGAGGAGAGAAAATATCAGCGCTGGGGATGCTTTCATGGGAATGGATTAGAAAAAAAAAACCCACCCAGAAGTGGTGGCTGCAAGGGCACGAATGTCACCGGTTTCCCACCATTAAGCCATGACCAAAACAGGAGGGGAAAAAAGAACCCAACCCCCTCCTTGGTCCCTTCTCCCAGCAGGACAGCCCTGCTCCGGCTGACTCACCCGCTGCCGCCTCCTCCAATGCTGCCCTGGGGAAAAAGGGGCCTTTTTTCATTCATGCTGCTGGAAAAAACTCTTCTGCTTCTTGCCGTTTCAGTGAAGGACCAGGGAATCGCCTACGGAGGAAGGAGATCTTTGTTAGTGGTAACAGGGATGCCAGATGGAGGAAGGAGATCTTTGTTAGTGGTACCAGGGATGCCAGATGCAGGACCTGGATATCCTGCCCGCAGGGTTTCGTGCCTCAGGGTGGGAAGGGGCTGGGGCTTCGTGCTGGTGTCACACACCCGGGACAGGACGCTGGACCATGGGGGCTTTGCCCCAGGGATTCATCCCCGGGCTTCCCACACCTCCCCTTCGACAAACATTTAGTGACAAGGGTTTAACATGAGCTTCTGTGGGGAAAGGCCACACTCCAAACCCACCCAGTGTCCGCTTGAACGGCGTTAATGCTTAACTATTAAGCATTAATGGAAATAATGGGGGGGATGTTGGGAAAACAAAGGAAAGCTAGTTTTTAGCATCCTCCCTCCGCAAACCCCCGGCGCAGCGGTGCCCAACGCCAGCACCCTAGGGCTGCCCACAGATCCCCTGACAAACCCACCCAACCTCCTACCTGCCTTCTCCTCACTGCAGCTCCCAGCCTGGGATGTGCTGATGGCTTTCTATGGCCTCACCACCCCCTGCTGGGATGTGGGGAAGGGAGAGTTTCCCACGGCCCAGGGGTGCTCCTGCTTCCCCTGAAGCAGCTGGTTACACCCATTGGGTGCAAAACTCCTTTGCTCAGGGGGTTTTCCCATTGGAAAGGACCTTTCCTGGGAAAGGTCTCATTTCCCAGGGCTTGCAGCCAAACCCACAGGGACCACGGCAGCAGCAGGGGGCTGGGGAGGGGGTGACACACAGGCACCAAAATCCACTATCCCAAGGGGGGTGGTGGGAAGCTCTGTCAAGTGGCCCCCAACCCTCTGGGCTTTTAGCCAGGCGATGCATCCTCAAGCTTTTCGGCTCCTGGATGCTCTTCCAGCCTGTCTGCTGGAAAGCACTCTGTTTTTTCCCCCTGTTTCCATCAGCTGGGCTAAAAAAAGCCATGTCCTCCTTGCAAACTGCATGCGAAAGGCTGCTGGCTGCCACGTGGGTGATGGAAACCATCCCTGTTCCCCGGGGAACAGCTCCAGCAAACACCTATCTGAGATACTTGCCCCACTTCCAGCCCTTTCCCCTGCAGCAAAGGGACTCTCACTCTCTCCTGCTGCGGGGGGGGTGGCTGGCGACCTCCTTGTCCCCCACCCCCTGGGTTTTCCCACTCAATTTCTGTTTTGCAGTATTTCAGTGTGGCCAGTAGTACGGTTCTTATGTGTGTCGAGAAAATGAACCGACCCAAAAAAAGGCTTACGGGCAGGTTTGTAGTCCCTGATTCAGAAGGAGTTCAGAGATGAATCAAAGCGGTGGCGAACAGCCCCAGGAGGGGATAAAACAAAGGCTGCTTTCATCAGCCTTTCACAAATTCATGCTATTTAAAAAATGGGGGTTGTGACACCGGAGCGGCCGCGGCAGTGGCTCCTATCTGGTGGGGTTTGGCAGCGCCGGGTGCCCTGTGGCCTCGCGGGGGCTCTGGCTGAGCATCCCAGGGACCTGAGCATCCCAGGGACCATCCATGAAGTCAGTCCCTTGACGCCTCCAGCCATTGCACCCAGGCATCCCCAACACTCGGCAGTGCCACCGCTACCAGCTCCCAACCTCAGCTTCACCACGGTCGCTCCGGCGGGGCAGCCACAGCGCCCGGGGAGAGCCAGCTGCTCCCCCATGCCCTATCAAGGATGGCCGCAGATGATGCTCTGGCTTATCTGATGAGTGTGAGCACCCGCAGGCCAGGGAAAAAAAAAAAAAAAACCAACACCAAAACACCCTTTGTGTTCTCATCTGTGGCTTTCACCGATTTCTCATATGAGAAGCAAAAGTCACTTGCACTGAGATGCCGGCGGCCGCTCCCTCGCAGTGACAGCCCGTGGGGGAGGCTGGCTGCGGTGACAGCGCTTCTTGGGACACGTGAAGGGAAAAACAAGGGTTAATTAGATATTTCTATGCAACAAGGGTGAATTATATATTTCTTTGCATTGCCCCGTGGCTTTTTGAACCGCTCCAGCCCTGCAGAACCCCCGTTGCTGACTCTCATGCCATTCACAGGTGAACACCAGCTCCTGCCCTCCCCCTCGGATTCTCCCTGGGGCAGGTGGCTGGTGCTGCAGGAGCAGAGAGGGAAGCAGGGTGAGGGATCAGCACACCATCCCTCCTCCCTAATTATTTCAGTATGTGGCCACAGGAGCCCCTGGCAGAGGCGTCTTGTTTCGTGGCCAACTTGGCTGGGACTTGAGGGATCACAAGCCCCAAAATGCACCCAGGAGCCCTGGGGGTCCGGAGGCATCAGAGCCTGATGGTGGGAGCATCCATCAGCCGCTCGCCGTCCCGTGGCCCCTAATGCTTGGCTATCGCCCCAAAAAGCAAGGGGATGGTTGGTTCTCTTTCTCCAGCACTCCCTCCCCAGGGATGATGCTGGACCTTGCCCCAGCAGAGTGCGAGCCGGTGGTGAATGCCCTACCTGGAGGTTTGGTGGAAGGAATGGCCCTGTGGGCATCCCATGGGGAGGATGGAGGAGGAGAGGCATGTGAAAATGTGGTCGGAAAACACTCGTCCTGCTCCCCTCCTGCCTTCCTCCCCCCCAAGATATTGCAACAAAAATGGAAAATGTGCTGGCAGTCATTAGCAGCTCTCTGGAAAAAGCTGGTTTTCTGGCCCAGCTTCAAAATCCAGTTTGCCAGAAACCCCCAGACCTCTCCGGCGTGCAACTGTGAGTTTTATGGAAAGCCAGAGTTTTCTGCAGAAAGGGGGCTGTGGGAATTTTTTTTTTTTGGTGAATTTTTGTAATTGTCAAAAATCCAATTTTCCTTCTAAAAAGAAAGAAAGCAGCCCTGAAGGGGTGGAAAACGTTCCAGCTGGGCCCAGGGCAGCGCAGGGAGGGAGGGGTGGTGTCAGCTGGAACCAGCTGCTCAGGGAAACCACTGGAGTCACTGAGCGTCAGCCCTTGCACCACCACGGGATGGTGATGGGAGAAAAACAATAGGCAGAGAAGAAAATTTGAAGAAAAGGAAGGAAGGAGGGAGGGAGGGAGAGAGGGAGGAAAGAAGGAAGGAAGGAAGGAGGGAGGGAAGAAAGAGAGAGAGAGAAAGAGAGAAAGAGAGAGAGAGAAAGAAAGAAAGAGAGAGAGAGAGAAAGAGAGAAAGAGAGAGAGAGAAAGAAAGAAAGAGAGAGAGAGAGAAAGAGAGAAAGAGAGAGAGAGAAAGAAAGAAAGAGAGAGAGAGAGAAAGAGAGAAAGAGAGAGAGAGAAAGAAAGAAAGAGAGAGAGAGAGAAAGAGAGAAAGAGAGAGAGAGAAAGAAAGAAAGAGAGAGAGAGAGAAAGAGAGAAAGAGAGAGAGAAAGAGAGAAAGAGAAACAAAAAGAAACGAAACAAGCCTGTAAATGTTGCCCTGACTTCATTTTTCTGCCAGACCCCAGGGAGCAGGGGAGCACGGGGTGAAGTTGCCTTTGGGGAAGCAGCAGCGAGAGGTTTGTCTTTTATTTTGGCACTGGCGGTGTGTGCTTTTGGAGTACGAAGCCCTGCAGAGAAATCCTTCTCAGCTGGATTTTCCCAGCGGGACTAAGTGCCTGGCCGTGCCCTGGAGGGTGCTCGGTCCCTGCTGCTGCTGCTGCTCCCAGGGGAGATGCAGGTCCCAAGGGACCACAGGCTGCGAGATGCCGCTGCCGGCATTGCCCGTGGGGTTTGGCTGCACAAATCAGCACAGGGGAAAGCGAAGACCCCCCCAGCCCACCCCAGCAGCCAGCCGGGATGCCGAGGGGTGGCTGAGATCCCACCGAACGCCCCGTTTGCCGGGCATGTCAGCACCTGCCTTCCCGCAGAGCGAAAAAATCAACTTGCAAAGTCACAGCAAAACCATGAAAGCAAAACCACAGAGCCCCAAAGTGCCTCTGAGTCACTCCCCCGGCTGCCGCCGAGGCCCCACAGCCCTCCAAAACTCGCTGCCACCTGCAGCTGGCCCCAAAGCTGCTGAGCCAGGCTTGGCCCACCGGCCCGGCCCGGCACGGCACGGACCCGGCTGCCTCATGGGCTCTGGCAGGAACCTGCAGATGGCAAATCCCTCTGCCCGAGCAGGCAGCAGTTTCCATCTGGTGGCTGGAGGAGCTGAGGGCAAAGAGGAGCCACAGTGACCATTCCCACCAGCTCAGCACCCCGCGCCGAGCCAAAACCAACCCGCCAGTCCCCAGTCGCCGGCACTGCTTCGCAGTCAAAACACTTCCTTCCCTCCCTCCCCCCCCAACTTTCCTGTAAAATCGCCCGTCTATTTTATTATTATTACTTTAAATCGTGAAAAATACTAATTTGAAACGTGAATGGAGATGAAACATTCACAGAAAGTGCTACTGGGATTAGTCACCGGTTGTAACATCTCTATTTACATGAGTCACGGAGGTTGGCCGCACGGCTCTTAAATTAAATCCCCGCTGAGTTTTCAGGTTTGGGGCTGTCCTCAGGAGACCTTTCGGTAACTTTTCTCCAATTCTGAGCAGAGCTGGTCGCTGCCTCCCGGCACGAGTGCTTACCGAAATACCGGCGGTGCCTGCGAGGGCTTTGCCGTGCCGTTGGGCGATGGGCAGGGCTGGAGGTGACACTGGAGGGTGGGACTCGTCCCTGCTAACCAGGTTATTTCCCCGTGTCTGCCGAGGATGGGAGGAGGGGGAGAGGCAGCAGGTGGTGGGGGCAGCGATGGATGGGTGGGATGGTGGATGGATGGGTGAGATGATGATGGATGGGTGGGATGGTGGATGGATGGGTGGGATGATGGATGGATGGGTGGGATGGTGGATGGATGGGTGGGATGATGATGGATGGGTGACGGCAGGGGTCAAGTGGGTGGCGCCGGGCCCCGGTGGCGGCGCCGACAGAGGTCACTGTCGTCGAAAAACTGCGTGCCCCAGCCGAAAAAGGGAACTCAGCAGGGAAGGCGGTGATGGGGCAGGCCCGGTTTTGAACAGGCACCACGCTCCAGCAGCCACGGGACCACCACGCCAGGGACCTCCACACCAGTGGCAGAGCCCCACGGGTGACGTGCGGGGTGGCTGGGATTGGCACTGTGGGCTGTGGGGGGTGGCCTGGAGAAGCCGTGCTCTCTCCCCCCACGGCCACATTTGGGGACCACCAAGGGTGCCAAGCAAGTGAGATTAAAAGGAAAAAAAAATATATAAATAACAATGAGGAAAAGAAACAGCTTCTGCGCGGAGCTGGAGGGGGGAACACAGCGCCATGGGATGTCCCCAAGGCTGAAAGGTGAGTGAGAGAAGGGGGACCATGGGCTTCCACGGGTGTCCCTTGGGCTGCTAAAACCTCGGCAGAGCCACTCGGTTCCGGGACGGCCACAAGACAAGAGGAGCAGCCCCCGAGGAGGCGTGGTTTAGGATGGATGTATTTGCTTCCCATGGCAAATAATTCCCCTCCCCGCGTCCTTCCCCCCCCCGGGAGGGGCAGGAAGACACTTCTCCTCGCCCAAAGCCCAAGGGAGGGCATGCAAAGAGCTCGCGAGCGCAGCGTAAAAAATAACCCCCCAGAGAGGTGACTAAGCACTCGGGGTGCCCATGCGAGACGCCGGAGGAACCCGGCCTCCCTCCCTGCCTGCTCCGGGCTCACCCCGGGGGCTGCTGCATGAGATGAGATGCCCAGGGTGGCAGAGACCCTCCATCCCCAGCCTCCCCACATCTCCACGCCGTGCCCAAGCAGAGCTGCTGCCGTCTGCAGAGCCCTCCGAGGGACCAACAGCCCCGGGACTGGAGCAGGAATGGCCCCAAGGACTTCTTCTCTCCCCCCAGACCCCGGTGGGGGCTCGCTGGGGATGGGTGCCCATGCCAGCAGGGTGCTTGCCCACCCCTGGTGGGGGTGAGCTGGGGGAGGCTGGGCACAGGGCATCCTGCCGGGAGAGGCGTAGGGAGAAGGATGCTGTCAGGGCACCAAGCGGGGGGTGGGGGGGTCCCCATGTGCCCCTGCCTCACACCCCACACCTCCCAGGGCACCCCCTCAGCCCTCCCACTGCCCCACCACAGCCCAAGCAGAGCCCCCCCCGGGGGCAGCCCACGCTCCGTGGGTGCTCAGGGACCCCCAGGGGGACAAGGCAAAGCCCCACACTTCACCAGCAGCCAGTGCTGGGTTTTAAACGTGCAAAATTGTAAATATTCACCCTGTGAGAGCCCAGTGCCAAGCAACACAACACACAGCAGCAGGAGGAGCGTTAAGGCGTACCGAAATCTATGGCATAGATGTATATATTTTTTTTTTGCAATTCCCAGCCAGCAGCTAAAGCGAGCGGTGTTGGAAGGGGCTCGCAAAGCCTTGCCCACAGCAGTAAATAGGACCTTACCCTGGCAGGCCTGGGGCAACCACCCCCCCCGGGGCCGGAGGGAGCGCGGGGGGCTCCGTGTGGGGCTGTGGGAGCGGGGCTGGCATTCGTAACGGGCGCCAGGCACCCCCAGACACAGCTCCTCCGCTGCTCTGCCCACATCATTGGTCCAGGTCGCGGCGGCGGCTGCTTTCAAATTCTGTTAGACCTTAAAAAGGAAACAGGAAGCCTCTCGGCTCTTGACTTCATGCAGCTCGAGAGGTTTGCACACCCACACGCCCTCCTCCCTACCCCTGAGGCTGAAGCAAAACGGCTTGCCCTGGACACGTTGTCCTCCCCCCATCAGGCTGGACCCATCAGCATCCCAACCCCAGTCGCAGGGGGAGATGCTGCCTCCTGCTCCTCTTCTTAGGAGCTTGCTCAAAGGCTGCTTTTGCTTTTTCGTTTTGTTCTTGGTCAAATGCATCTTCATCTTCCAGCTTCACAACCCCTGGGGAAGCAGACTCACAGCACAGACTCCCAGCAGGAGCATGGACCCCGCTGCCAGGCTGCTCTCCAAAACTCCTCTGAGCACAGGGCAAAAGCCCATTTATCCAGCAGGAGGGGGAGAGACACCAGCACACCTCCAGTTCAGCTTTCTCAGCTCTTCACTCAACAGCCAGCATTTGCATTTTCTGCTCTCCCTCCTTGCAAGCACACGCACAAAAAAGTAACTGTGCAACTTGTTCCGTTCCTGGCAGGGGCTCTAGGAGGCTAAAAACCTACTTGTCCTCAGAAAAGTCGGGCTGGGGAGAGCAGTTCATTTGCTTCGGGAGGTGAATATTTAATGCTTCCCATTTCTCCAGTTTAGGAGGAAGAAAACAACTTCCCCAAGCTGCAGCTGAGGGGGGAGGTACGTACACCCCCAAGCACGTCACAAACCCCTCTCCCAAGGGAAGGAACAGCCAAAGACCTCGTGGCTCTAGTAGCAGAAGTGGGGGTTTCCATACTTGTTAATGGGTCAATTTAATTGACCCAACAAAGAAGGTACTTACGGTGCAGGTGGGTTTGGTTTTGGTTTTTTAGAAGGCTGAACCCCAATGTCTGTGGGCTCCAGCTGTGTGAGGGGCACTGCTCAGTGCTCCCTCTCCTTTCCAAAATCTCAAATGCAATCTCTTGCCCCCGGGACCAAGACACCTCCCGTGCACTCTGTGCAGGAACTGCCCTCAGGACACATCCGACAAGCCTTGCCCTCGCTGCTCCTCCCACCAGCGTGTTGCCTGCCAGGCTCATCCCTTTTTTTGGCAACCCCTGTCCTGAGCCAGGGCCAGCCCCAGGTCACTCAGTGCAGAGAAAACCCATCTCTTCCCTTCCCATGGCCAGGACGGGGAGCCATGCAACCCACAAACACGATAGCCCAGGGGCTAGCATCCAAGCTACAGCTCCAAAGCAGCTGCCTTTGAGCTCTTTGTCCATTCAGTTGGTTAAAGACTTAACCTCCTCTGGGACAGAACACTGACTTTCGTACGCGGGTGCCCAAGGAAATTAGACCAGCTTCTGAATAGCTCAAAAAACAGGAGTGAGGGACAGGATTTGTCACAAGTTCCAACCATGTGGGGCCTAAGTCCTTCCTTCAGGACATCTTAAGTGACTGAAAACCTTGGTTCATACACATTAAACACTTTAATAACATTTAGAAGGTTTATAAATTTTCTTCTTTTGCTTTCTTCATAAACACTCTTAGTTGTCTTCCTCTGTCCATCTAAAAATCCTTTGGCTCCTCTACTTCAGGGCTTGGAAAAAAAAAAAAAAAAAAAAAGGGGAACCAGGAATCTACAAGTCCCACAGAACAAGATCAAATTTGAAACTTCAGAATAAGCAGAGTCCAATGGCTTGGCTCCGGCTGCTTTTCTAGTAGTAATCATTCAACCTCTGGCTGCTTTCATTGGAGTAACTCCACCTGTTTTATGAAAAATTAAGTGCCTGGCCTTGCCCAGAACAAACATGGAGCCAGCCACGCTCCAAATTCAGTGCTCTTGGGAAACACACAAGGCAGCGTAGCAGAGATGAAGGAAACACAAACGAATGCCCAATTATTTAAATTGTCTGCAAGAAGTTTCAGTTCTTGCCCAGACATAACGTAACGTAGTGGAGGCAGGTGTTTTCTCAGCAGCCACTGACTAATTGCAGAACAAAGATTAGAAAAGAAAACAACAAAAAGATGTAAACAGTGCAGGAGTGAGTATATTGTGGATGAGTCGGAGCAGGGCAATTTATACTTACACACTTTTATATGTGCACACTTATGGAGGAGAGACACAACAGCCTTCGTGAGACAACAAAGAAGTAAATATTGCATGAATGAGACTGAAAGATCACGCCAGCTGTTGACAGGGACACTTGGCATGAGGTGAGTGGTGTTTAGTAGAAGTAAAGTAGAAGGCTTTCTCTTCTAACCTGAGACCCAAGAGGGAAAGCAAGTTTGGCCTTCTGTGCTGCCTATCTCCTCAAATCTCCTGGAAGCGCACTGAGATACATCACAAGCAAAGAAGTTACAAAACCAAAGAAACTGTATGGTTCCCACAAAAGGTCTTTTCAGAATTCACCACAGAAGACATATTTGTAAACAAACCTTAGTTACAAAAGTAAATTTATTATTAGTTCACTTCTACATTTTTTTTTTTTTTTAATTCATTGTAACAATTTATAAATAACTCCCGGCCATAGTAACCACATCCAGGGACAAGTCTGAAGTTTCACGTTGTTTGAGAAGTTACAAAATCACGTACGTTTTACCTGCATGTTTTTGGAAAGCATGAAACAACACACAGCTGGCTCTGTCCTTCAGGAACTGCGCGGAGAACAAACGCCACAGACCTACAGCACCATGGACTGGGGGTTTCTAAGCAAGAGAGGAGCGAGCCTTAGCAACGCACGGACTGGCATGTTCAACTGCTTGAATTTCAAAAGCAGCTCAGAGAAGTTGGTGTTTCCTAAAGAGGTTAAAGAAAGAAAGAAAATGAGCACATACAGGTGTAACGCTCGCCCAGTGACAGAACTGTCAACAGAAGGAGAGCCCAACGGTGTTCAGGGTGTCTCTCTGGAGAGGTGCTCACTGCTATTCTTGTTGTTGCAACACAGGTTATAAAGTAAGTTTTTATATTAGAATTATTGATATTTTTTATTATTTATATTAGAATATTCAATTCATGTGGCGGGAACTCTGGGAATAGAGGCACGTAACAAGGAAAGAGGACACAAACCCCCAGGATTTCCATAAATGCCTTTTGATTTGAACAGATATCCAGGCACCTGGCTGGGAAATGTCCAAGCCAAGCCACGTTAGCCTGTACCATCACCTGGGACTCCTGGGCTGGGGACTCTGGCCTCTGCAAAGCCTTCAGTGACAGATTTCTCTCATCACTGAGGTGGTAACATTCATGTCACACCCCTAATCAAACCACAGAGTTCCTCAAATTGAAGCCCAGCTGCGTTTCTTTCACAACCTGAGAAACCAGAGGCAGACAGGAGCAGCGGTATATCCCCAGGCTGGGGGCAAGAGAAAAGCTGCCCAGTGAAAGGGCCCAGAATTTCCCTGGATCCCAAATCAGATTACCACTGGAAACCCAGAAGAGCAGGTGATCGCTCCGACCAGGTACTTATAGGAAAGAGATTTAAGGACATTCAGCACACAGCTGGCCCAACAGAAATGCTTTCCCCTGTCACAGCTCATCTTACCTGGCCCCACTGCCTGCTAGAAAATCATTACTTGCAGGTCAGGAAAGAGCTAAGAGATTTTTATAAAAAAACCTCAGGCTTCTTTAGTCCTGCATAAAGTTTCTACTTTTTCTGCCCAGACTCAACACAATTAACAAAAAATAAAAATCATTGGAACAGTGTTCAGAGGAAACACACGCTGTCAAATAATTTACAGGATATATGCAAGGCCAAACCCAGGAGTGTGTGTCCATGCAAGTCCAGAGTGCTGTCCTGCACTCCAGCCTTACCTTCCAAGCCTCCAGCTGCCAGCTGCCCTGGCGTCGGGACGGAGTGGTAAATAAGGAAACAAGCCAGCATGCTCAGCTGAGACTCCTCCGTGGGCTGCCCACTTAGGTAAGAATGTAGAGAGACGTCCCCTCCAGCTGTAATACACAGGACATACTGATGAAGTTTAGGGAGCATTTGTGGGAGGAAACGGAAAGGTAAGACAACAGTATTTCCACAGAAGCTGCCCACTAAGAAGAGTCTCAATCTCTCCACAGAAGGTGGGCTAGGGTTTGTTTGCAAACCTTCCACCTTCTGCCATGGCCACCCCACACCCTGTACTCACTCTTTGCTTTTGCTCCTAGAAAATTCTCCCAATGGGATATCAGGAAGGCATTTCTTCTGGGAAACATAACCTCCCAGGTGAACTAAACTTCCCACCAATACAGTCAAACATGTATTTTGACAACACAGTCAAACAGTGAATGTTTCACACCAAATGCACTAAATTGAAAACAAATTGTTTTATGCTAACTTGCAACTGCCTTCCCTTCAGTTACCATTTTTTCAGTACTTCTGAGGCAAAAGCCACTACAGATCAGTAAGAAGACAAGAACACCGAATTGCGATCATGGCTCTAGGGTTAAGGTTATCTTCTCTGTACCTTGAAGCCACTGGTCCAAAGTATTATCAATAGTGCACTTCATCACGGGCAAAAATTCAGAGTTCATGAAGAGTCCTCGGTTTGGATTCCTGCTCATCCTCTCCTGGTGACTTCTGGAACTGAAAAATTCTAACACCAGCTTTATCTGCCACAGCTCAAACGTCTCGGACATTTCTCTTCTTTCTAACCTCCTGACAGCCTGGCACAGGGGAAACACAAAGGGACTGTGAGAAATGGGAACTGGAAGAGGAGAGAACTGTTGCTGTCATAAACATGAAGCAAATGAATCCCAAAACCCTGCGCTGCCAAGGGCCGCCCTTCTGAGCACCTACTGAGAAAATCTGCCAGCTAATGCTTCTGCTGTAATTTTAGTTTTCATTAACTTAGATTATTCTCTAATTTGCTTTTAAAATCTTTGCCATCTCCCTGTAAGCTTGCTAATATGTCTCCCCTTCTTCCTTTCTGTCTCCTACAAAAATCACACACAATGAACAATATTTTTATGCTAAGTGTAGCTTTATAAA